GCTCAGAGCATTTGGAAGTTTTCAGGGACGGATTGGGCCATTCTCTAGTGACAGGATGGTGCGGTTCCCGTAGAATCTAGGGTTTCACCAGTCAAGAGATACATAAGGAATGTTCAAAAGGAATGGGCAAGAGCTGCTTGGATGACTTCCCGGGCTTGGTAGGGGTGTGCAGAGGAGCATCGTTGGTGATGATGGAGCAGAGCTCCTTCAGTCAGCCCCAGAAGACTTGCTGGAGAGGCGGGAGGGTGCCGTGTGCAGGAGGAGCTGTCACCCACCTGTCGGCCCAGCTGTGGCAAGCAGCAGTTAGACGACTCAGCCCTCCTAAGCATGACCTCACCACCAAGTGTTAAAATAAGCCTCTCAGCCAAGCCAGGGGGTCTGGGCAACGGTGAAAGAAGAGGAAGGAAATGGGCTCAGTGGCTCAAGAAGGGTATGAAGGAGGATGTCGAGATTGGATTTTAGGGAAAGCACCGTGCATTTACTGAACTTACTGTGTGCTGAGTCACAGACTAAGAACTTTACAAAAGTGTCCTCCTCAACCCTCACCATAGCCTCGCCTCACTTTACAGCGGAGGAGACTGAGGCTCTTAGATGTGGAGTGTTTCCCCGGGTCATAGTGAGCCTGGGGCTCCAGCCCAGCCCTCTGACCTGTGCCCCAGTGCCTTGGCCCTGCCCTGCCCTGCCCAGCTCTAACCTGCAGGGAGGCCCTTTCTGGGCAGCGCAGCTTGGCGTAGCTCCGGGCCTCTGTGGGGCCCAGTGGCAGTGGTGGCAGCGAAGAGCAGATGGGTCTGTGGTTTGATTTCCCCAGCAGGTGTTTCCCAAGCTTGGCGGGAATGGGGAGGGGCAGCGGGGGCTTCAGCAGCTGGTCCCTAAAACACTGGGGAGGACTCATTGTCTGCCTCTCTGTGGAAAAAGGAGGGCAAAGAGTGTATTCAGGAGGCTCTGGGCCCTCGAGTGACAGCCCAAACGTGGGGGTGGGGCGTGTTCACGCTGCTTCCCATGGGGGCACCTCCCTGGGGCGTGGCACCAAGCCAGGAAGTCCCTTGGGCCTGGGCGGATGTGGACTCCACTCTGATAAGGGCCAGCTGTGGAGCCGTGATGGGCACCCTGTCTGGCTGGGCCAGCTGCTGCGTGGAGGCTGTGGTGCCCAGCCTGATGTGTTTAGGTCCTACCCACTCTTTCCTCCTGGTGTGTCCTCTGGGCATGGAGGGATTGAGCCAGCGCATGGCCTGGGATAAGTGAGCCGAGCCTTGGCCTCGCTGGATTTGGTGGCCCCCGGTGCCTGGGCCTCAGAGATACAAGTGTCACTTGCCCCTGGAAAACAGGACTTGAGCCCTCTGAGTGTTCCCTTTTCAGACCTTGATATTTTCTTACCTAGTGTGGCCACGATTCACAGGACAGTGGCAAACAGACAGGAGGTGGCCTCAGGTCAGGGATAGGCTAAAGAAGGATTGATTTTCATACTCTGCCTTTCTCCCTCTCTCTCTTTCTCTCTGTCTCCCTGTCTCCTAGGCCAAAAGGAAGCTGGACCTGGAGAGTATCGGGAGGCCTGCGGTCCCTGAATTCCGGACTCCCAAGGGGAAGTGCTTCCGAGTGGATGGCCTTCCCAGCCCCAAAAGTAGGCTTCTGCTGGGGTACCTGGAAGGACAGTGGGGCAGGGACAGAGGGCGGCAGGCCAAGTCGTCAGGAGTGGTATTTGGCCCACCGTGGAGATGGACCACACTTGCTGGTTCACCAAGGTTTCCTGTGTGTTCTCTTGCTTGGCCCTGCCCGGTAGGTAGGAATATCTCCCTTCTGAGAATGCAGCTTGAGACTCAGTCCTGGCCCAGGGCCTCACGGCCAGTGTGGAATCAGGACCAAAGCACATGGAAGCCTTGCACTGCTTTCTTCCACGCTGCACCTCACACCCATGATCGAAGTGTGATGACTGGTGTTTACTTTGGGAGTTTACTGTTTTTAAAAGTTCTCCTATTCAGAGAGAAGCCAGGAAGCTCAGTTCTGGCCCTCATCCCAGCAAAAACTGGAAGATTACACTTTCCCAGTCAAGCGACCTCTTGCCCTGAGCCTTCAATTTTCTTTCTTTTTAGTTTTTATTTTTGTCAGTACCTTTGCAGTATGTGCTGTTTGCATCCTTGTGTGGAGTGGGTACGCGCACACCACACAGTTCCTTTTCTCATCCCCTTGCCCCTCTCTTGCCTTCCATCCATCTCCTGATCCCCTTCCCCTTTGAGAAAGCTACCTGCCCTCATTCTGTTATCTGTCTTTTGTGTTGTTCTTCACTTATCATTTGGGTTTCTCATAGAAGAGAAACATGCAGTATTTAAGCTTGATTTACTTCCCTTAACATTATGGACTCCAGGCACATCTATCTTACTACAGATGATGCAAGTTTACCCTTCTTTATGACAGACTAGTACTCCATTACGTATAAATGCCAGGTTTTCCTTGGCCCTTTATGCGTTGATGGTCGTACAGGCTGCTTCCAAGATATAGGTAATTTGAGTTGTGCTGCTATAAGCATGAGTATTCATGTATTTAAGTCTCCTGGGAATTAACTGTAATGTGATGCCTATAACTCTTTCAGGAAGATACTTAGAAGGGGAAATAGCTGGGTCGAATGGAATTTCTCATTTTAGTGTAGCTCCACCGTGATTGTACTGGTTTACGTTCTCACCGATGTAGAAGGGTTCCTTTTCCCCCTGCAGCCAATTTTCTTTTTTTAAATGAAAGTAATACACATATGGTAGAAAACTACCAAACAAAAAAGTTCAAACTGTGAGGAAGGGTGCTCAGTGAGATCAAGTGACCAGTAATATGCTTTGTATATCTTTCTGGAAATATATATTATACTGCAATAATAAAGCTATATATAAGCATCAAGAAAACAACGTTTTCATATTTAGTTCAATCTGGCCTCCTTTTTTTTTTTTAGGCAGGGTCTCCCTTTGTACTTGAAGCTGGCCCTGAACTCACTATGCAGCCCAGGCTGGCCTCAAACTCTTTGCAATCCTCCTGCCTCAGCCTCCCGAGTGCTGGGATTATAGGCATGTGCCACCACGCCTGGCTCAATCTGGCCTTTCCGTAAGAGAATCTAGCACAGGGTGGAACCAGGGCTAATCAGGGTCTTTCTCCCAACAGCCTGAGTGAAGGGGCAGTGAAGTTTGACTTAATCTAGGCTGTTCATCACATCAGTGGTCTGAGAAGTGAGCATTCAGAAGAGGGCAGGTCCTGTTTTCTGGGGAGCAAATGACATTCTCATCTCTGAGACTCTGGTTCTGGAGGCCACCAAATCCAGTGAGGCCAAGGGTTCAGACTGAGGCAGAAGGACTGAGTTTTAGGCCAACCTGGGCTGCAGAGTGAGAATGTCTCCAGAAAAAAAAAAAAAAAAAAAATCCAGAGGCCCAACTGGAGTCTTCCTAACGTTAAGTCCATATTCTGGTTAAAGTAGGAATTTGGAGATACACTCGTTTCTCCAGATCAAATGAAAAATACGTGACTGGATGGGATACGGGTGTCCAAGCAGGGCTCTGACCTGACTTAACTGGTCTCTCCTCTTCTGGGAACCCTAGCTGTCTCATCTGTAAAACAGGGTACAGCTACATCAGGAAGGATGAGAAGGGTTCTTCTCCAGTTGATTAGTAGAGTCTGCTGGGAGTACTGCATCGAAGAACTGTGAAGCTCAGCTGGACTAGTGAAAAAGAGTGCATTGATCAGTTAGTAATGTCTGCCATGTGCACAAAACATGACAAAGGACTGTGTGCCAAATGCTCATTATTGTGTGCTAAGGAATTCTGAATAAATTCAGATTCCAGAGGAATCTGAGACTCTCTAACTCAGGTTCTAGAACCAGTTTGGCCACTGACTTGCTATGTAACCTGCAAGTCACTTGATTGCAAAAGTCCCCCTGTGGTTTAAAATGCTGCAGCTGAGATGTGGCCTTGCAGCATCAGCCTCACTGAGAAAAGGACCCTTTTCATGAGCCCGCCCGTGACTGATTCCTCTCAGATAATACATAGGAAGAAAAAGCAACTATGCATCTATAGTGCTCTCAAATCCAGGCTTATCAGTCCCTCTCTACCCTAAATCCAAATTCCTGCCTGGGAAGATGGGGTCATGGTGAAGGAAGACTGTGGAGTCAGATTCTCTGGATTTGAATCCTAGTTTTGCCACTTTCTAGCTGAGTGAGCTGAGCAAGTTAGCTTGATCTACCTGTGCCTCAGTTTTCTCATCTGAAAAATGGGAACAGTCGCACACCTATCTTATACAGTGTGGTAAGAATTAAATGTGTTCGTGTATGGCAAGTACTTAGAACAGTGTGCTTCACACAGGAAGCCGGCCTGGTAGGATTAGGGGTTGAGATGGCTGCCCTGAGCTGTGGTGCAAAGACGCCCTGAATCAGGCGTCAGGAACCTTGGCTTCCTGTCCCGATGGTACCCCTGGCTGTGAGAGCTCTTGAGCAGGTCACTTTCCTTGTAGATATCAGGTTCCCGGTCTGGATGACGGTGGTGAAGGCCCCTGCCTCACAGTGCTCTGTAGACAGGAACGTGGAGGGGATTCTGCGGGCTGGCCCTGCCTAAACTTGAGTGAACCCTTTCCCCCTCAGCACCCAAGTCCCCGGGAGAGAAGACTCGGTATGACACGTCGCTGGGGCTGCTCACCAAGAAGTTCATTTACCTCCTGAGCGAATCAGAAGATGGGGTCCTGGACCTGAACTGGGCAGCTGAGGTGCTGGATGTGCAGAAGCGACGCATCTATGACATCACCAATGTCCTGGAAGGCATCCAGCTCATTCGCAAGAAGTCCAAGAACAACATCCAGTGGGTGTGAGTGCCTGGGCGGGGGCCGAGCCGGTGTCATGGGCTGAGGCCAGCATTCAGTGGGCGCAAGGGCTGGGGGTGGATTGAGAGCAACCAAAGGCTTCCATGCTGGATCAGAGCCAGCGTCTTTGAAGTGGAACGGAGGAGTGGTGCTTGAGTAATGGGGAGAGAGTATAAGGGAAGGGCAGAGTAGAAAATGACTTCTAGAAGGTAAAGGCCTGAGAAGACCGCAGTGTCAGGGCTCCCAAGATCCCCGTATTAGCTTGGGAAAGATTCCTGGGAGCTCAGTAGCCATAACCTAGATTCCTTCTCCACTCCTGTAAGGCCTTAAAGAGGAGACTTTGAATCCCTGGTGTGAACCCTAAGAAAACCCCGGCAAGGGACTCAGGAGGGAGGCCTTTCTACTTCCATTCGGGAAAGGCTGAGGCACAGGGATGGACTGAGGTGAAAGCTCTCTAAAAATGCAGTTCAGGCCTTGACGTCTCCCTAGCCCAGCCCCCAACCTCAAGTTCCAGTCCCCGGTCAGTCCCCGGGAGCTAGGCTGGCCCACCTGCTCCGCACGGCCCTGTGCGGTCCTGGGGTTGGGGTCCCTGGATGTGGATGGACGCTGATGCTGGGGGCTGCTCTGTTCCCAGAGGCAGGGGACTATTCGAAGACCCCACCAGGCCTGTGAAGCAGCAGCAGCTGGGCCAGGAGCTGAAGGAGCTAGCGAGCACCGAGCAGGCCTTGGACCAGCTCATCCAGAGCTGTTCCCTCAGCTTCAAGCATCTGACTGAGGATACAGCCAACAAGAGATATCCTTCATGGAGGGTGGGGCTGGGAGCAGCGCCTAACGCGGGTTTCCGTCTATTCAGAGTGGATTCAGTACTTCCTTCAGGGACTGACTCCCACTAGGGGTCGGGCACATCTGTTTCTTCCCCCTTCAGTGGCTTTTCTTTGCAAGACTATGTATGTATGTATGTATTTACTTATTTATATTTATATTTTTTGGTACTGGGGATCGAACTGGGGTCCTTGCACTTGCGAGGCAGGAGCGGAACCACTGAGCTAAATCCCCGGCCCCAAGACAATCTATTAAAAATTTTAAAATACTTTATTTATTTATCAGTACTGGGGATTGAACTCATGGTCTTTGCTCTGAGCTACATCTCCAGCCCTTTAAACATTTTTTTTATTTTGAGACAGGATCTCACTAAGTTGCTCACAGTAGGTTCAAAATTGGAATACTTCCACATCATCCCAAAGTGCTGGGATTACAGGCTTGCACCACCATATCCAGTCTATTGTTCCTTAACAGTACACTTAAGTGTTTCATATATATATAAATATAATTAGGGCCTTGTGTGGTGGGGCACGCCTGTAATCCCAGCACTTGGGAGGCTGAGGCAGGAGGATCTCTTTTAGTTTGAGGTCACCTGGGCTACATAGAGTTCAGGCCCAGCCTGGACTACAAAGTGAGACTCTATCTCAAAAACAGCAACAAGGGCCCGGGATTTAGCTCAGTGGTGCCGCCACCTGCCTTGTAAGCACAAGGTTCCGAGTTCAATCTCTGGTACCAAAGAAACAACAATAACAACAACAAAACAAAAATAAATATGTACAATAATAAACAGATATAATGATACACCTGCTATATATAAATCCTCCATTTGGTATATTACCATAGATATTTTTCACTGCTGTTACATGTCTTCCCAATCTATTTGGTGACCCACATGAAATTGCCAATTACTGTTATTTGGCCACTTTTTGTGGTTGTTGTTGGTACCAGGGATCGAACTCAGAACCTTGTGTTTCAAGGCAGGTGGCAGCACCACTGAGCTAAATCCCCAGGCCTGCTTATTACTTTCAATGAAGCAAGTCCATATGGTTGAACCTCATATTTAAGGTTGTTTGAAAAGCTAGACATGGTTGCATATAAAACCCATCTCTACATGAGAGGCTGATGCAGGAGGATTGCAAGATTGACTGAGAACCTGTCTTAAAATTAAAAAAAAAAAGAAGAAGAAGAAGTGGTTTTAGACTGCCCTATTCAGACTATACTCTGCTTTGTCTATAAGGCCTAGAGTTGATGTTTAGGTCATCTAGATTTCCATTTTTATAAGTGACATAGCAATGAGTATCTTCAACCTAGAATGTTTTCCAGTATTTTTGCTATTTCCCCAGGTTGCCTTCCTAGGAAGTCAATGGGCATGGACTGTACTAAGGCTCTTTCGTGTTTCGCCGAACAAGTTCATGTCTCATTGGTTTTTGGATCTGACCTTGTGTTTTTGGAAGGATGCTAGACATTGTGAGAAATGCAAGGAAATTTAAAAACTCTTTCTAGCCGGGTGTGGTAGCGCATGTCCATAATCTCGGCACTCAGGAGGCTGAGGCAGATAGATTGCCACAAGTCTGAGGTCACCCTGGGATACATGGAGAGTTCAAGGCCAGTCTGAGCTTCATAGAGACCTTGTCTCAACACCTCTCGCACCCCCAAAATCTTCCTGCCTTCTCAGAGCTAATGAACTAGTGTGAGAGATAGTCTTTATATCAAAAGCTGATATGTATATGTACACATATGTAACTAGCTGATTAAAAAGCAGCATTAAAAATGGTTTGTATCTCAAATCTCACTTTGCTAAAGGAATTCAAGACAGCTGATAATATTCAAAGAACGGGTTACAGAGCTTAAGTATTTCTGAGCTGCCTAGAAGTTAGACAGTGATGTTCAGGAACTTAGAAGAGGGGCCTGGAGGTTTTTGGGGGAGAGGGGGCTTGAGACAGTACCCCAGGTCAGTCTCGAGCTCACTATGTAGCCCAGGCTGGCCTTGAATTTTCAGTCTTCCTGCCCCAGCCTCTCAAGTGTTGGGATTACAGGCATTGCCATGATTCCTGACTGGGAGTTTCAATTTTGCACAGTCACTTTTCTTGACCCTCCCGCCCCTACGCTGGCTTATGTGACCTACCAAGACATCCGTGCCGTGGGCAACTTCAAGGAGCAGACGGTGATCGCTGTCAAGGCCCCTCCGCAGACGAGACTGGAGGTGCCAGACAAAGCTGAGGTGAGAGGGGAAACTTTTGATGCGAAGAAGAATTAGAGCGCCCCAGCCAGTTTTGCTAACTGCGCAGCCCCAGGCTGCCCTGGTTCATTCTTGTTCCTCTGGCAACGCTAGCAGCTTCCAAGCTGGTACAGCAACGACAGAGGCTGGAAAGGGCAACAGATCAAGGCAAGAGGATTACAAGTTCAAGCTAGGCCTAGACAGCTTAGTGACTTAGTGAAACCCCGTTTTCAAATTTAAAAAGGGCCGGAGAGGTAGCTCAGTGTGGGTTCAATTCCCAAGTACCACAAAAAAAGAAGACAAGACTGGGGTGGGGATTTATCTCAGTGGCAAGCGCAAGGTCCCGAGTTCGATCTCTGGTACCAAAAAAAAAAGACAAGACTGAGTACGGGGCTGGGCACGTGCCTTTCCTAGCATGTTCAAGGCCTCAGGTTTGCTCCCCAGCACCACAGAAAAGAAGAAAATAGGGGTTGTCCACGTGGAACAGTGCATGTGTGCAGTCGCCTTTTGGGAAGGAAGGGAAGCAAAGGGCATTGAACCCAGGGCTTTCACGCTGAGCTCCATCCCCAACCCTTTTCATTTTTTGAGGGTGGTCTCACAAGTCACTAAGTTGACTGGGCTGGGCTTAACCTTGTGAACCTCCTGCTTCAGCCTCCCAGAAGGGTAGGATTGCAGACAAGTGCCGGCAGACTGGCGTTGTGTGCAGTCCCCTGTGGCTTACCTTGTAGGTATATGGTAGGGAAAGGGCAGGGCTGGAAAGGCCACGTCTCAGGACTCCTGGTTACAGAAAAGGTAACAGAAAGCCAGGTCTAACTGGTGTAGTCCAAGGGGGAAGAAAAGAGGACCATGTGAAGAGTCCAGGAGAAATTTGGAGAGTGGAGGCAAGGGGCCCAAGCTGTGATTTAAGTTCTCTGGCTTTCTATCCCCAGTCCCCACCCTGCCTCTCTCTGTACTGTCTCTGTTCCCAGAGAGGGAACAGAGGTTTGTGATAACAGCTCAGTTGCCTCCCCTGCAAAATCCCCGGAAGGGAGCTCGTTTCCCATAACTCACCCAGAGCCCTGGGCCCACCTGAGTTCTGTGCTTCCCTGCACTAATTCTGTTCCTCTAACTCTCCCAAGTTCAGCCCTTGAAGTTAGGGACCCCTGCCCCCCAATCCCCAACTGCATAACCTATGGTTTCCCAAAGGAAAATTAGGCTCAGGGCCTGCCCTGGTTAGGCACAGAGCTGTAGCCTCCTGTGTCCCTTCATACCCAGCGACTCGTGAGTCAGTGTCCAGCTTCCCAGAGCAGTGACCAGCTTCTCTTTCTCCCCAGGAGAACCTGCAGATATACCTGAAGAGCACCCAGGGGCCCATCGAAGTCTACCTGTGCCCTGAGGAGGTGCAGGAGCCTGACAGTCCTGCCAAGGAGCCCCTGCCTTCCACCTCCGCCCTCAGCCCCAGCCCTGACTGTGTCCCGCCCGGCTCCAGCGCCTACCCTGGGGTCTCAGAGCCCGGAGCCTCCTCAGGTAGGGGCAGGAGGTGGGGAAAGTGACTGGCCTCACTTTCCTCTTCTGCACTTACATTTGTTCAATGCCTCTCACCTCACCAGTGGCTGGGGGCATAGTTGTCTCCCCACATGTGTGCACCTCACTTTCTGTGTAAGGAAGCGTGCATGCACCCCTGTTTCTGTGAGAAGTTGATCCTGCTCTGGGGCAGAGGAGGGTCTAGATTTGAATCTCAGCTCTGCCTTTTACCAGCTGTGTGTGTCTGGACAGATAAAGTAACCTCTCTGCCTCAATTTCCCCCTCTGTACAGTGGGCACAGTAGTTCATGTGAACTCTTAAATGATTGTGGGATTAGAGATCACGAGAAAAGCACTTGATCTGGCAGAAACTGCTGCCCTCTACCCTTACTGCTGCCAGGACTGCTGCTGTGGTGCGGGCTGCTGAGAGCACAGCCCCACATGCAGGAAGCCCATGGAGAGGGCAGAGTGTGTGGTTCTTTATTGTTTCCAGTTTAGAGATAAATAAACCGAGCCACTGAGGTGATGTGACTTACCTTGGGTCTCCCAGCTGGGAGGCTCCACGGGTGTCTTCTGTGTGTGTGTGAGATCCTGAAGATTGAGCCCAGGGCCATCACACAGCTACATCCCCAGCCCATTTCGATTTTTTAATTTGGAGACAGGGTCTCACTGCATTGCCCAGGCTGGCCTCAGACTTGTGAACCTCCTGCCTCAGCCTCCCAGAGTGCTGGCATTATAAGCGTGTCCAACATCACGCCCAGGCTGTCTTGAACCTGTCTCCACGCTCCTAGCCCAGTGCTGCCTGCACTGGCAGAATATAGATCAAGGAAGCGGTGCCTGGCTGGAGGTGGGTGGGAGAGCTGGTAATGCCTGGCAGGAAGTTGCCAGGGAGCAAAGAGGCAGGGAAAGACCTGACGGCGAGCAAGGAGGGTAGGAATCCAGAGGCAAATGGAAGCTGTGAAGGGCCCTCACGCTAAGGCGCTTTTGCTCTTTGTTGGGCTCCACCCCGGGTTAGACCGGCAGGAGTCCACAGGGTCAGGTGGCCGGCGTTCCACTTTCTGTTTTGTTAGCAGCAAGATTCCTTCCCAAGGACCCTTGTGTTTAAATCAAGGCCAAGCCTGGTCTGATGGAAGATGTCTGCTGGTGTCAGTGGGGTGTCTATAGAACACAGACAGGTTGGATTTCATTTCTTTAACTCAAAAGTTGACAAACTTGCCCGGCAGGTCGAAGCTGGCCTGCTTTTCTATGCTGGCTCATGAGCTAGAAATGAGTGGTTTTTACCTTGTGTGTTTTTTTTTTTTACTTGTTTTCCCCTATGGTACTGGGAATTGAACCCAGGACCTTAGCACTGAGCTACATCCTCAGCTCCTCTTACTGTTTATTTATTTGCTTATTTATTTATTTTGGTGCCGGGGATTGAACTCACTTGCAAAGCAGGCAGCAGAACCACTGTGCTAAATCCTTGGCCCGTCTTACTTTTTATTTTGAGACAAGTCTCACTAAGTTGCCCAGGCTGGCCTTGAACTTGTGACCTTCCTGCTTCAGCCTCACAAGGGTCTGGGATGGCAGGCATGTGCCCCCACTCCCAGCTCAGGCACTTCCTTTTGCTCTCCTTTCAAGTAAAACTCGCCCGAGAGTTTTCTGAATTTTTGCATTTTTTTTTAGAGTTGAGGGAGCAACTGGGTTACAGAGACCACAAGTGTCCTACACAATCTAAAACGCTGCCTGGCCTTTTAGAAAGGTTTGTTGATCCCGATCTAACTCCAACACTTCATTTTACATGCAAATAAACCAAAGACGCAGAGAGAGCAGGTGGCTTCTCTGAGGTCACACAGCAAGTTTATGGCAGAAACAGGACCAGAACCCAGACTCCCAGCTCTTAGTGATCTGCCCTGTGTTTGTGGCTTCTCCCTGTGCCAGCCATTTGTCCTCTGGGCACCTCCCCACTGCCTATCTCCTACCCCAGACCTGGGTCCCACCCTGTTGTTCCTCCTGCTGCTCTGCCTTCTCTGTCAACAGAGTTAGAACGACCTTCACTTGTCCTGAGTGCTCGGGTGGAGGTGGTGGACCCCATGGATTTTGCCAGGGTGAAGTTGCTACCAGATTCTGACAGATCAAGACCTGAGCCCAGCTGGGTGTGATGCACGCCTGTAATTCCAGCACTCGGGAGGCTGAGGCAGGAGGATTGCCATGAGTTTGAGGCCAGTCTTGAGTACATACTGAGTTCAAGGCCAGCCTGGAATGCCTAATCAGACCCTGTCTCAAAAAAGAAAAGAAAAGAAAAAAGAAAAAGCCTTATGGCCAGAGAGTAGAGGCTATGGAGCGGTTACTGGTGGAGCCAGCCTGGAAGCCAGGCCCCATGCCATGCCTGCCCCTCCAGCCTTGTCACATGGCTCCAGCATTGCCTGTGCTGTGGGAGGAGAGGGAAGCTCCCCTGAAGGCTCCACATACCTGCAGGCACAGCCGCCATGTTCTGGCCTGAAGTAGAGGGATTTTGAGGCCTGAGCACCAGAGGCCAGGCCCAAAATAGAAGTCACTGCCATCTTGAGACTTGGGTCCTGGCCCTGGTTCTTGTATCACCAGGAGGATTGCTAACCCTTTGCAGCCTCAGTTTCTCTCATCTATGATACAAGAGGTTTGAATAAGAGTTGTCTCTAACCCTCTCTAGGCGCTGGCATTGTGCAGAAAACCTAAATGAGGCTGACTAGACAGGATTTGAAATTGGGAGACTTGGGTTTGTGCCTGTACCTCAACGCTTGGTGACTTGGTGATAGTGGGCAAGTCACTAACTTCTGTGAGCCTTGGTTTCTACATGTCCAAACTGAAGACACTTGAAATGCCCTCCACAAGCTGTGGTGGTGTGCACCAGCGGCTTGGGAGGCTGAGGCAGGAGGATCACTTGAACACAAGCGTTCAAGGCCAGCCTGGGCAACATAGTGAGACCTTGTCTCAACGGACAGACAGACAGACAAAAACTTCCCTCGTGAATATTGGGTGGGTTACAGGCGATGCTACAGCATGAGTGTGGCTTTTAAACAGCTGGTGTGAAATGAACATTACCGTGTAGGGCCTAATGGAGTTGAGGGGATAGAAAAACAGCCTTGAGAGCACGGCAAACAGTCAGAATTACAAAGCGCAGGTCGGCTCTGGACTCAATCAGGGGCAGGAAAGAGCCAGGTCCAGTCTGTAGTAAGAATTTCCACACGCCTTATCTCAACTACTGCTGCCAGTGACTGCCAGGCGGATCCTTGCTTTTCCTTGTGAGAAAACAGCCACAAGTCCGACAGCTGACAGGAAAGGCAGGCCTGGGGTCCAAGCCCATAGCCTTCTTATTCCCCATCTGTATCAGCAGCGCCATGCCAAGCAGACATTAGCGTGGCGCCTGTGTGTGCACGTGGTAGTGGGGATTGAGCCCGGTCTTCACACTCAGCTACATCCTCAGCTCTTTTTAATTTTTCATTTTAGCACGGGGTTTCATTAGGTTGTCCAAACTGGACTCGAACTTGTGATGATGTTTCTGTCTCAGCCTCCCAGAATTCTGGAATTATAGGCAGCCACCCCTGCACCTGGCTGCAATGTTAGGTTTTTTTAGAATTCAAATTTAATTGGCTTCTTTGGGCCTCAGTTGCCTCGTCTATAAATCGAGATAATGACTTTACCTCCACTGGGGCCACTGAGGGTCTGAGAGCGTGAACCGAGCCTCACCTCAGGGCAGAGCCGGGCTGCCATGACCCTTGGTGAGTGGGAACGGTTGGGTTTTGGTTCTCGTTCTGGCAGTACTGGGGATGGGACTCAGGGCCTCACACGTGCTAGGCAAGTGCTCCACCCCTAAGGCCACAAATTTAATGCTTCTTTGGGCCTCAGTTGCCTCGTCTATAAATCGAGATAATGACTTTACCTCCACTGGGGCCACTGAGGGTCTGAGAGCGTGAACCGAGCCTCACCTCAGGGCAGAGCCGGGCTGCCATGACCCTTGGTGAGTGGGAACGGTTGGGTTTTGGTTCTCGTTCTGGCAGTACTGGGGATGGGACTCAGGGCCTCACACGTGCTAGGCAAGTGCTCCACCCCTAAGGCCTGCCGGCCCACCGCAGGTCTCTGCAGACTGGCTCTCTCCCTGCTCTGGTCTGGTCATCCTCTCAGTACCCCGTGAGGTAAATGTGCAGTAATCGTCATCTTCCTGAGCGTTGAGGAAACAAGAGCCCTGGAAACGTGAAGCCGCAGCTACTGAGCCCGTCAGAGAGAGATCAGGCTCTCTGCTGACCATCACAGTTGGATTTTCAGAGCATATTAGTTTGGGGCTTAAGGAATGACTCAAATGTGACGATTCTGAGCATGAAGATCTATTTGATGGGCAATTTCTGGTCTCCTTTTCCTTGTTCCCGTGTGGGAAATCACCCTCCTCTGCGTGGACATGAGCTTGTGCTGAGGAAACGTGGCTGGGGAAGTGCAGTGGGACCTGCAAGGAGAGTGGGAAAGGTAAAAGGTAGATGGCAGGATCTCATGGGGTCTTGTCAGCCCTGCCCAGAACGTGGATTTTATTCCAAGCCAGTGGGAAGCCATTAAGGTTTTTACGACAGAACACAGGCTGCAAAGGGTGAGGGTCAAAGGAAGGTGACCAGTGAGGAGGCTCCTGCCGTGATCCATGGAAGTGGGGACTGGGCTGGGACAGAAGAGAAATGGGCAGCTTCATATTCACAGCAGCTCCTGGACATGATGCTCGATCAGGTACTGGAACAACTGCGGGATTCTGGATGATTCTGGGCATTTTGGCCCTGAGTGAGTGGGGACTTGTTAACTGTGATGGAGGAAACTAGGGGAGACCAAGACAGATCGAAGCTGTCCAAGCGGTGAGGTTGGAGACAGGGTTGGCGCCCTGGGCTCCGAGGCAGAGGTGTCTAGGAACGCAGCCACAGGAGAGAGGAGTTGAAGGATGGAGCCTTGGGCTTTTGAGGCTGAGAAGGGGGAAGAGAAAGAGGATCTAGCCAAGGGGAAGTGGCCCAAGAGGTAAGAGGAAAGCCGGGAAGATCTGTTCATGGGAAGTTGCGCCCCTCAGCTTTCCTTCACTGTGACCAAATACCTGAGAAAGTAAACCCAAAGGAGAAAGGTCTGTCTCAGAGGTTTCAGATCCTGTTCTGGTGGCACCGTGGCTGTGGGGCTGAGGGAATAGTGGAGCAAAGCTGCTTACTTTATGGCAGCCAGGAAGCAGAGAAGGGAAAGAACTGAAAGAAAGGCCAGGGACCAGATCTAGTCCCCAAGGACACGCACCCATGCTTCCCTCTGCCCCCATTTCTGCAGAGCTGGGGATTGAACCCAAGGCTTTTACACAGAGCTCCATCCCAGTACCCTCCCCACTTGTTCTGGAGACAGGGTCTTGATAAGCCACTAAGTTGCCTGGGGCGGGGCCCAAAGTTTCAACCCTCCTGCCTCAGCCACCCAGAGTGCTGGGGTTACAAGCGAGCATCGCTGTGCCCAGCTGACCCACTCGCTTGAACTAGGTAGGCCCCGCCTCCTAAGTTTCTCTCACCTTCCGTTAATGCCACCACATTGTGGGTTCACCAGCGGATTGATCCACCTGATGAAATTAGAATCCCTGACCCATTCACCTCTGAGCATTGTCACATTCTGCCCTTTAATACATGAGCCTTCAGGGTGCCACTGTGGATCCAAACCGGAACAGAAGGCGGGTTGCTTCCATGTTTTAGCCATTGCGAATGTGCTGCTATAAACAGGAGTGTACAGATGTTTTTTTGAGACCCCACTTTCAGTTCTTTGGGGTATATTCCAAGAAATGTTGAAATTGCTGAATTATACTGTAATTATATTTTAAAAAAATTTTTTTTTTTGGTACTGGGGATCAAACCCAGGACCTTGCGCTTGTGAGGTAGGTGTGGTGCCACTGAGCTAAATCCTGGCCCTTTTTTCTTTTGAGACTAGGTCTATGTAGTTTAGGCTGGCCTCAAATTCACTATGTAGCCCAGGCTGCCCTCAAACTCATGGTGATCATCCTGCCTCGGCCTCCCAAGGGCTGGGATCACAGGTGTGTGCCATCACTCCCGGCCATTTTTAATTTTTTTTGTGTATGATGCTGGGGATTGAACACAGACTTCATGCACCACTGAACCCTACCACTGAGATACATGCCCAGCCCCTCTATTTTTTACTTTTTGAGGGACCCAGTCATCCATAGTGGTTGTACTGTTTTACATTCCTACCAGTAATGAACAAGGATTCTAATCTCTCTCTCTCCTCGCCAGCTCTTGTTTTTTGACAATAGCTGTAACGGGTGTGAGGTGTTACGCTACTGTAGTTTTTGATTTGCATTTCCCTGATTAGTGACACTGAGCATCTGTTCACTGCTCACTGCATATTTGCATATCTTTTTTGGAGAAATGTCTATTCAAGTCCTTTGCCCATTTTTGAATCAGGTGTTTTGTTGTTGAGTTTTAGTATTTTGCTACATAGAGTCTGGATATATATTATTTGCAAATATTTCATATTTTCTCCCATTTTGTGGGTTACCTTTTTACTCTGTTGATTTTGTCTCTTTCTTTGGTACCGGGGATCAAACTCAGGACCTGGTGCTTGCCAGGCAGATGTGGTGGCACCACTGAGCTGAATCCCTGGCCCTGCCTAAACTTTTTATTACTTATTTATTTATTTTGCAGTACTGGGGATTGGACCCAGGGCCCTTGCATTGAACTACATCCTCAGCCCTGGTTTGTTTTGAGATAGGATCTCACTAAGTTGCCCGGGTTTGGCTTGAATTTGTGATACTCCTTCCTGAGCCTCCCAAGATTTTGGGATTATGGGCATTCACCACCACACCCAGCTAAAATTTTTAATAAAGTCCAATTCATCTGTTTTTATTGTTATTGCTCGGCCTCTGGTGTCATCCAAGAAATCATTGAAAAATCCAATGTCATGGTGCTTTTGTTCTGTTTTCTTCTAAAATTTTTATAGTCTTTAATTTTAGTCTTTTATTTTAAATTAATTTGTTTTTTAGATAAGCACCCAATTTTATTTCTTTGCATGTGGACATCCAGTTTTCTCAGTACCATTTGTCAAAAGGACTGTCCCTTAGGGAAGACCCATAGGGTCTCGCTGTGTAGTTCAGGTTGACCTTGAACTCACTATGTAGTCCAGGCTGGCCTTGAACTCATGGCGATCTTCCTGCCTCAGCCTCCCAAGTGCTAGGATTACAGGTGTGCACCATCGTGCTCAGTCTGGGAGGCTGCTTTTGAAAGATACACGTTCTTAAAAAAAAAGAGAGAAAGAAAGAAAGGTGTTCTTAGAGTAGGTGTGTGCACTGATGGGCATGATGCAGTAAAGTGAGGACAGTTAATGATTCAGGGAAAGAAGGAATGATTTGGGTGCAGAATCTGGGGGTGCACTGTACTCATTGGAGGGGAGAGAGGGACAGTAGGAGAACGAGGGAGGTTTTGGGGCTGGTGCTGAGAAAGGAAGAGTGTCCCTATGCCACTAGGTGTGAGCAGGCTGAGAGGAAGGAGGGACGCAGTCATTCAGAGAGCAAGCAGAAAGGCACCTATGTGTTGGGGTGCAGGGATGACCTTTCTCTATTTGTCTCCAGCGCCGGCACCAACTCCCCAGCAGGATCCACAGCTGCCACCGCCGCCACCACCACCGCCCACCCTCGTCCCTTTGGAGGCCACTGACAGTATGCTGGAGCTGACGCATCCACTTCTACAACAAACCGAGGACCAGTTCCTGTCTCCAACCCTGGCCTGCAGCTCCCCTCTGATCAGCTTCTCCCCACCTCTGGATCAGGACGACTACCTGTGGGGCCTGGACGGTGGTGAGGGTGTCAGTGACCTCTTTGACTCCTATGACCTCGGGGACCTGTTGATTAATTGAGCAGCCTTGCCTTCCCCAGCAGCGCCACACCTGTCTCTACCTCCTCACAGACAGACTGACAGGCCTTCTGCCTGCATGGGGACATCGGACACAGGGTGCCACCCTCAGGGCATGACGGTCTTCTCTCCTTCCCAACCTCCCTGCCAGCAGGTGTCTGGGAGATGTGGAGGATGTGGGTGAGGAGGGTATCAGGGGCTCGGTCCTGTCCTTAACTCTTCTGACCTCTGACCTCTCACATCTAAGGACCATAGGTGCAGTTGACTAGGTTCAGGTAAAGGCCCTGCCACCTCCTTTTGAGAGGTAATTAGGACCCTTGATTTCTCAAGAAGCACTTAATGCCTTTGTATTTATTTCAGGTTGAGTTTTGTTTGTTGTCCTCCCTGAGTTTTAGCAGGGAGAGTGTTCTAGTTTCTGTAAGACTTCTCAGTCAGGCCTAGGACAACTCCCCGGTTTCCCCTCAACGGTGGGGACTGGGTTTCTTCGGGGTGGTCCAGTCTGCTGGAATGCTAATTGCACTTAGGCCTCGTAATAATAGTAAGTGCCAAGCCCTCTGCCTGTTCTCAGCCTAACAAACCCAGCTAAAGTGTCACCCCAGAGAAGGTTCTAGAAGCCATCCCGGGGCAGGCAGCATTGAGGCTTCTGAAGAAGCAGGAGCAATCAGTTAACAAGCCTTGCTTCCTATGGAATTCTTCCTTCTCTCTCCTAGTAGAATGTAAAAGCTCTAAGGAGTCAGACAAGACTATGGAGTCAGACAACAGCCCCCAAGGAAAGAGATAGGAATGTAGAGGCAGCTGTCATGGCTGCCACAGGCTCCTTTCCTCAGAGTCTTCCTCCCAGATCAAGGCAAAGCAGAGGCAATTCCGCCTAAACAGAGAAGTGAAGTGAAAACAGAAAGCCTCAGGAAGGATCCCCAGGAACTGCTGGTATCTTTTCCGAGTTCCCTATATCCCCAGCCCTTTTTATGTTTTGAGACAGGGCTTTGATAAATTGCCCAGGCTGGGTTGGAACTTGCAGTCCTGCCTCAGCTTTCCAGAGTGCTGGGATCACAGGCATGTGTCACCCTGCCAGGCTGATTCTTTAAGGGCCTCCATTTCCCCACCAGCTCTCACACAGATCTCCAAGGACAGAGGTGACCAGGGCTTGGTGGCGTGTTTCTTCATTTTGTCACTGGAATGCTGAAGGGGCAGGCAAGGGCCTTTACTGTGGATCAGGCCTCCACAGCTGATGACGAGATGGGCTGGTGTCGCCTCAGGCCCTTGGGCCTGAGGAGGTCTTTTGTTTCCACCCTATTTCTCCAGAGGCTTGGCCACCCCACATGTCTCCCACCTCACCTGGGATGATTGACTAAAGGCTGTCCCTTCTGTAGAGGGGCACCCAAGGGTGAGAGGGTCTGAGAGGCCTTCTGCCCACCCTCAGGGAGCTAGTCCTCAGGGGCTCAGCTGGGCGCACTTTTTTTTCTTTAAGTTTGTAGCATTAAGTTGATTTAAAGTATGAAGTTGGCTTCTTAGGGTTGCTCCTGAGCTGGCTGGCTGGGTATGAAGTCGGGAAGGTGGGTTTACCTGGGTGTGTGGCCCGGGGTGAGCTGATGCCCAGCTGGGGGCAGTCAGGCCTTGCCTTTGGCTCACCTGCCTGGGATCTCACATTGGCTCCTCCCAGGAGGGAGAGCAGCCCACAGATGCCCCCACTCTTGTTTTGTGTGTTTGACTCCACCCCTAAATGCTCTCAGGTCTCCGAAACCTGCCCACCCAGAAGTCCAGCTTGCTCAGGACCAGAGGCACCACCTTGGCCCTTAGGTGGGGACAGGGGTTCTGTGGGCAGCGTGGATAGGAGCAAGTGGGGCTAGAGACGGCGGTGCTGTTCTGAGAACTCCATGGGTCTGCCTTTTAGCCTTGTACCAATCCCCATCCCAACCCTGGTACCAAGGATCGTCGAACTGAGGACCTTGCACTTGCAAGGCAGGCACAGGGCCACTGAGCTAAATCCCTGGGCCTATCCTTGTATTGATTCTGAGGATGGAGACACTTGACCTCCATGCCTTGGGCATTGGCTGGAGCTTTCTCCCAGAATTAAATTGGAGAGGAAAGAAAAGGCCTTCAGGACCCATCTGGAATTAGTTAATGCTAAGTCTGACTGATATTCGAGCTCGTTCTCCAGTGGCCCCGCCGGAGGGCTGGACAGAGGGCCTTCCTGAACAGCTGCCCCTGCCCATCCTGGCCTGTCTCCTTCATACCATGCCTGGCCGAGGGGCTGGACCTCCCAGACTAAGCCCCAGGCTCAGTGTGGGAAATAACCTTGTGCCTCCTTCTTGCCAGTAACACTTGAAACCTCCATCAATTTTTTTTTTTAAACAGCACTGGGTGTTGAATCCAGGGTCTTCACACTGAGCTACACCCTCACCCTTTTAATTTTCTTGAAGTTTGAGACAGGGTCTCACAAAGTTGCCTTATCAGGACTTGAACTTGGGAGTCTCCTGCCTCAGTTTCCCAGAGTGCTAGGGTTATAGACCTGTGCTACTTCCAACAGGCTAAAACCTCCCTGTATGGGTGGAGTGCTTTAAGATCACAGTTTGCATGGTATTTCCTCTGGGGGCCACACAAACTTTAAAACTAAGTCAGGAGAAAAGTGTGTTTCTTTCTGAAGTTGATGATTTCTTCCAGGAAATTTCTCAGTCCCACCAGCAATCCCTAAGTCACTTCTGTTCCCAGGGATCAAAGGCTCGAGGACCCCAGGGAACTGGGTAGCATTAAATTGTTAGTAGAGTTGGAAATTCAGAGGTTTCTGACCACCCACGTCAGGACGCGTCCTTTCTCCACCTCCTGTCGGCTAGTGTGGCTACAGGGAAGAGGGAGCCTTGCTTTAGGGTGGTTTGATTTGTTTCCCCTCCCGCGAATTATCAGCCTCTGTTCTGCAGTGTTTGGCGTCACTGTGAGTTTGGGTGCTCCGTCTGGTGTCTGAGTGTTGTGTGGCTTAGTGGGTTTGAAGTGAAAGCCTCTAGGCTCTTTAAACAGCTTTCTGGTATCTTGTTGCATCCTAAGGTCCCAGCATCCAAGACCCTGTACTTCTGTGTGGCCCCTTAGTGACCATGGAGCCCACAAGCTGGCCACCTGCTTCCCATGCTAGGGCTCTGCAGGGGTCACTACCTCTGGGCTGGGTCCCACCCTGCTGAGCACCAGCTGAGGCACCTTGTGTGTGATCATGGCATTAAACAGCGGCAGCTCTGGACCTCTTGTCTGTTTTATTTATTTATTTTTGGTTGGTTGTTTTTTTTGAGGCAGGTTCTCACTATGCAGTTGAGACTGAGCTGGAACTCACTTTGTAGCCCAGGCTGGTCTGACCTCACAGTGATCCTCCTGCCTCAGCCTTCAGCGTACTGGGATGACAGGCGTGCGCCACCGCACCTGGCTTTGTCTGTGTTTTATGTTCTGAATGAAACTCATTACCAGCTATGAGTCTGGTCCCCAGGGCAGAAATGCAAAGCTGTTGGGCAGGAGCACATTTCCAGCCGGCTTCCCCTCAAGCAGCCCTCTCGTCCCTCCATGGCTTCTCACCCTGACTGACATCTCACTATTTGGACACAGGAGCATCTGGGCCTGAAACGTGGCCCACTGTCTCTGGGTCCCCCCAGTCGCCGCCCTAAGTCTCACGACTCCACACTCTGCTCCAGCTCATCCTCTGCCCCAGGGTTCTCCAAGTAGAGTCCCGGGACCAGTAGCCTTAGCATCAGCTCGGAACTGCTGAGAAATGCAGATCTGAGGCTGCACCCAGGCCTTGGGAATGTGAAGCTCAGGGGTGGGACCCAGTAGTCTGGGTCCTGGTGAGCCTTCCAGATGATTCCAACCCACTGTATTTTGAAAGTTTGTACCTCCCACTACCCCAGATGCCTGCCCTACGCCCTTGCCCTCCCTCCATTTTTTTGCAGGTACTGGGAATTAAACCCAGGGCCTTTGCACTGAGCTACACTCAGCCCTTTTTATTTCTTTATTTTCGAGTCAAGGACTTGCCAAGTTGCCCAGGCTGGAGCCCAGAGACCTTTCTGAAATGTAGGTCTCAACTTCAGTGTGGTGAGGTACACCTGTAATCCTGGCACTCTGGGAGGCTGAGGCAGGAGGACTGCAAGCTCAATACCAGCCTGGGCAACTTAGTGAAATCCAGTCTATGAATGAATGAATGAATGACTTGGAATGAAACTTAGTGCCAAGACCCTGGGTTCAATCCATAGTCTGCAGTGCTCATTGTGTTCTTTTACTCATTACCACCGCACGGTTCCCGTCTGCCCTACCCACCACCCCTGGCCACACAGCTCCTGACAGCACTCTTTCCCTCTCCTGGGCCCGCGTGCCTGCTGCTCGCGCTACCCAGGAGGCCCTGCACTCCACTTCCACTGAGCAGGGACCCACACGCTCTCCAGAGCCCAGCTCAAGAGCCTCTTCAAAGGGTTTACGTGACACTGACCTGTCAGCATTAGTGCTTGCTGGCTCTGGTTATTGTGGCTCTGGAATTTCTGTTTCGCTAGGCACTGGGAAATGGAGGTGAGTAAGATGCAGACCCAGGATTACTAATGACACAGCCGCTGCAGTGACATCACAGGAGTGGGAGAATATCATGGGGAAGGCTTCCTGGAGGGGGAGATCTCCAAGCGATGTCTTAAAGGATAAACAGAAGCAGCCTGCCATTGGAACGTGAGGGGGAAAGGAGACCTTCATCCGGGTAGAGCCATCCATGCTCCTGGCTTCGCAGCAAATAAAGGCACGCGTCATGGGAATACTGCTCCTGTCCCTAAGGAAGGACATGGGCAGCTAAAATCCAGAAGGAGTGGCCCCAAAGGTCACCTCTGCCAATCTGTGCCACTACCCAGGAAATGGCTGAGTCCAAAAGGCTGATGGACCCGAGGGATGGCAGGATGGGGGGGACCAGGTCTGGGGATCCGGTTGGCCATGGGACACTGATGGAGAGGAAGTTGTGGAACTTGACACCAGGAAGTCCGTATGCCTGCAGGGTATGAAGACAACCTAGTGGATAGGTGAAGTGAGGCCTGAGGATCCAGACATTAGCACGTGGGAAAAGGACTGTGTGGATTAAACCTTTTTGTTATGCCTGGACACAGCAGGGCTGCATATCACAGATGTGCATCACAATGTCTGTCTTCAATGTTGATTTAATATAAAGAATTAATGCACCATATCAGAAGGCTAGAAGGCAAAAGTCATAGCATTTCAATAGATATGGAAAGTAATTGTACTGCCTCAGCTTCCTGAAGAGCTAGGACTACAGGTGCATGCCACCAAACCCAGCTTTTTTTTTTTTTTCCCCTGGGGGATTGAATTTAGGACCTTGCATGTGCGAGGCAGATGGCAGTACCACTGAGCTAAATCCCTGGCCCAACAGCTTCATGAGATTTTATTTGTTTTTTGTTTTTTTGAGACAGGGTCTCACTATGTAGTTGAGACTGACCTGGGACTCACTACGTAGTTGAAACTGACCTGGGACTCACTGTGTAACCCAGGCTGGTCTCGAACTCACAGTGATCCTCCTGCCTCAGCCTCCCAAGTGCTGGAATTACAGGCGTGCGCCACCACGCCTGGCTTCTTCATGATATTTTAAAGACGAAGAGAAAGCAAGACAGAAAAAGACGAACTAGAATAGAAGTGAACTTTCTCAACCTTGCTAAAGAGCATCTGTGAAAAACCCACAATTAGTATCAGATCAGAAAGACAAGGCTGTCCTCTCTCTCTCTCTCATTTATTTATTTATTTTTGATAGGGTCTCTCTATGTAGTTCAAGCTGATCTTGAACTCACTATGTAGCTCAGGTGGGCCTCTACAGCAGTCCTCCTGCCTCAGCCTCCCAAGTGCTGGGATTCCAGGTATGCACAACCACACCCAGCTCAACTCCATTTTTATCAATATGGTACTAGAGGTTCTAGCCAGGACAATTAGGCAAGAAAATGAAGAGAGGGGCAGGGAAAACATCCAGATTGATAGGAAGAAGTAAAACTGTTTCCA